CCTATTCTTAGTGTTAGAATAAAAGCATTTTCATTGCTACCCTAATTACACTGTTGTGCTGATTCTCTAGATTGTCATCTGCACTCTTCCTAGTGTATTTCTGCGGTACGTTGTTACATTGACGCTGTTCTCAATGGTCGAATTTCTTTGATTGCCTTCTAAAAATGGCAGTACCTTCCAACATAACTACAAAGCGATGCACACGATATGTCATTATCTTTAGCTGTGATTGGAAGGAAATTTTACATCCAGATGCAAATCAATGTAAACCATTTAAACACTTGTCAGAGAGGCAATTTGTTCCTCTGTGGTAAGCCAAAATGTTCACAATTACTTAAACCGAATTGTACTAGGAGATTCTCAGGCGTCTTATGGTAAGTAAATAGGCCTAAATATATCAATGGGCAGCCAGGATAAGCATTACATGGACAGTGGCCAAATTTTTTACCGTAATGAGCTCTTCCCGTCTCACCCTGAACCCAACCCAAACAAACAACTTCAATACCAAGTCAATGCCGACCAGTCATTTGGAACCACATAAACTTGTAGGTTCAACAAGTTATTGCAGGAGATTGGTGGAAAAGATTGCTAAGTTTTCAAAACTGCTGCATAAACTAGCGAGAAAGCAGGTGAACATAATTTTAAACAAGAGAAAGAGCTTGATGATTTTGCTTTTAAAGAACTAAAGTAAATGATCTGCTTCGCACTGATTCTGACTCTTTTACAGTTTGAAGCAAGAACCTCATTATTCTTACTGGATACTGACGCTAGCACCGCAGTGTTTGGCTATGTACTCTCACAAGAGTACGAAAAAGGAGGATAATACGTCATCGCTTAAGTGTAGTTGCGCAAAAAGTAACAAAGCTGAAACAGGAAAGGTTAACACAACGTAAACTGTTCACTGTCTTTGCAATGGTTAGACAATTTAGACATCACCTGAGCGCCAAGAATTTCATAAAAAGAAAGCACTATCTGGTACTGAAGGCCATAGGCCGTTTGGTTGCACGCTGGTACACTACATTGCAGCAGTGGCATTTCACAGTGTTGTACAGGGAATGAAATCTTTTTAGTTGTACAGATGCCCTATTATGCGGTACGGTCATGGCAGAAACGGGTAGGGTTCCAGTGAATAAGGTATTCTTAAGTGAACTCACTAAAATCATAGGAGAAATATGGAGAGTATTGATGAGAATACTTCTTCGGCAAATGAGAGGTTCCTTACGTCCTCCTATAAACACAGCGTAAGAGATGAATTCTTCAAGTAAGTAGACCACACAGACTTGGCATGAGTGATGAAATTTAATTTAAATTTTTATACCATCCACTGGTTCCAGACATTACTGGATCATGTGCGGAAACATGCAAGACGCCTCGAGCAGAAGGCACTCGTGGTCTCCACCCAACTCCAGCGTGCTTCAGAGCTGCCAAGTTAGCGTTATTTCCTATGGCTTTAAAAATCCACAGCCTTAACCAGTAGCAACATCCCAATTTATGGTCACAGACTTCCTGAGTATAACAGCAGTTACTGAAACCATACCTTCTCTACCATCCACTAATGCGGTAGGCATTAATCCTACCACTAATTTAGAAAGTTAACTCTTTACTCAATTACGCAAGAATATCAGGCTCTCTAACACACGCAGGACATCCTGAAGGCTTACTTTATGGATACATAAAGAAAAGACTAAGATTCAGGTCTTGGTGTTGTCCCCATACGTATGAAGCAGTAGTTTATATATCAATCAGCTTTTGGCCTTCTAAGGTGCTCACGATTCAGAGAGTGAGAGCATTACCAGTATATTCTTATCAAACAAGAAGCAGCAACCAACAATGTCACAGTACGCATTACTGCTGAAGAATGGAGTATGACAAAATTTAGCACCAAACGGGAAGACTTACGACCATCGTATATTCGACAAAGAAAATATTGCGACAAGCATGGTCAGCATAATGTATGCCAAGAGGGTACTAAATGCAGCTGTTCAGGCTGAGCCTGCCTCCTAGATTACATTGCAGTTTACACCATACTGGGATGAACTATGCATTCAAAGTGGTAAAAGTCATATTGCTATCAAACTGCTCAATCATTTACCATTCAGCACTGCAAAATGTATTTGCAAATAAATAAACCGCCCGTCAAATCCTAAGGGTAAGTTTACGTGCTAACGGAAGAAATAAGACCATGCTAAAAGACATATACAATGACTGTTTGTAAGGGGAGTATCAGCGATGGTGCCCTGAAAAGGATGAAGCCATGTAATACACATTTGTTTGATTGCACCCTTTAGGCAAGGAACGTTGAGTGAATACGAGGCTCGTGACGAAACGATCGTCAATTACCATTAAGGAAGAAGTGAGTTCTGGACATGCATTACCAAGACACTTGAATATGGTTCATGATATTATTGGTTCATAATATTATCAGTCCACTCGTTTCACTGGAATCAAGGCTGTGATTAAAAAAAATAAGTACCGAATTTAATGTAGCTATTACTTACTGGTTTGTTGTACGGAGAGCACATCAGAGCGGTAAATGTGTTTCTAACTGGCAATGCAAATGAGCATAACCAAAGGTATTATTGCCGTTTACAAAACACGGATGTACAGTTTAGCCATCTATTAATCTTTTGCAAAGGCACCATCCCGACAGTGATCAATTAGGTCTAGCAATATTAAAAAGAACTGTACTCTCAGCAGACTCGATCACTGCATATTATCCATGCAAGTAATCTGAGTGTTGTCTACCACTTCTCGGATTGTCCTTTACAGGATAAGTTCGTATTGTCACAATCGTAAGAGATTTTTACAAAATCATAGTCAAGCTGTCAGGTGCACACTCTAACAAACGTGGAAGTGCTCGGCGGGCAGAATATTCCTCAATCAGAAGACAAAAAGGGTAGCCGTAATGCAATTGCACGCAAAGGCAATAAACCAGTGGAGCGAGTACTCCTCAATTTCTTTATAAATTGCTGCCTTGTACTGGTGCTGCGTAGACTGATATCTGATCAGAAGCTCTATGCAGCAGCTCAAATCCTGTTCTTGATTACTTCGTCACAACGGTTTGATGAGACCTATTTGGGTTTCCAATTTATCAGTCCTTACACCACATGCCATTTCATGCAACTGTTGGCAAGTACTTAGCTAACTTACTTTTCCAACACAACCAAATTAAATTCTAGACCTCTGTTAGTGGATGCATTCAAATAGTTTCTAAATTTTCCGACAGATAAACCACACTGCTAAGGGTGGATGCACTCAGCACCTTCAATGTCTGAACGAGCTGGTGTTTACTTTTTTGGTATCAAGCAGGATTAAGGGTTAGTGTCATTCAGCATCAGAATAGTGTGCAAAAATTACTGCCCAAATTAGAAGGACAGTAAATGTTACAAGTCAGCCATGAGGTAGATCAGAATCCTCAGCTAAATCCTTTTACTCAGTGTGTCTACAATTCTATTTGCTAGTACATCACAGAAGCTGAACCTTCTGCTTCCAATGGAAAAGCCTACCCGATTATTTTGTCCACTACACTTGTATACAACTCCGATCCGCTACAGCTTTAGAATAGATAGCGCAGCCACACCAAGTATTGTGTAAAACAGAAATCGTTAATTTGTCAGTGGAAAATTTTAACTCCATTTAGTAAGTCTGATAGTAGACTGTTCATGGCAACGACTTCTTACCCATCAAATTTTGGCATAAATTATGGGACGTTTACTAAAATGCTCTTTTGACACGACCGCACGCTTTAGCTAATCAATCCAATGGGGTCGGTCTGTTCTTCTCGCACTACCCCGCGGCACACCGGAAAGCCAATTATTGCTCAGAAATTACACTTGTCTTCCCAACTTTGACTTTCCACCTCGACTGAATCCCAAATTAATTTGGAAGTCTATGGTCTTGCACAAACAATTTATTCTCCTTCTTTCCTGTTAAAGATGCCTTTTTGGATTCACTATATTACGACAGTCAATTGTTAGGAATGATTAATCTCTCCTGAATACGACTGCTTTTGGTGCATAGACTTATTCCAAAGTGATTGTTTAGAAAACTAACTGACAGTTGTGTTCTTAAGATGGTCAGTGTAAAGCCCACAGTCACGACTGATGGTTGCAAAGCATATTCTCTCCTACCCATTTATCGTCTTTGAAAGGCTCCGAATAGCATCATGTTTATTAGGATAACAAAAATCCCAATTATCAAGCATAGTTCTAGTTTGTTCATAAATTTCTTAGGTCTCACTCAGAACACCATAATCTTGGGTGGTTGGTAAAGAGTTTTCTGAGCAAAATGTCCACTTAATTGCTCTTTGTGGAATGTTTTAAGCTATTAAAAGTCACAGAGAGTTAATTGACTTCAGTAAATTTGCCCATTCTGTCATGCATTTCTTCACAATATGAATTTTGTTTCAAGGTCAATAATAAGTTTGATCACTTTGGAGGAAAAGCCATGCCTGTAAGGAAGAAATTTCCAAATTTGCCGTATTGAGATATGTGCGCACCACAATCCCAAACAAGAGATAACACCGCGTCTCAATGCATACAATGGGCTGTTGGAAGAAGAGATGACAACGTTCACTTAACCAGCCTCTTTGAGACTAAATGAGGCACCTTTTAATCAACCTTGTCAGTTTTTGGTCTGTGCAAGAGAAGCAGTTAGTTCAACTAGCGTTGGAATGTGATATTGGTTGCAAAATAGCAATTTAAAAAGAAGGTGGACCACAAATAACCTCTTAAGAGTGGCCACAAATCCTTCTCACGAAATGTTCTACCCGTTCTACCTATACATTTGGTGGGTACTATAGCATGCGTTTTATATGCGGATCAATTTGGCATTAATATGGTGCAGGCACCAGGTCAAAATAATTTTGATCCTATTCAGTTACACTGCCAATCGAAAATATATTCATACCTCTCGAATATCTTGCATACGATTGATGATTAGGTGAGATGTAATGGTATCAACGTCCATCCCTCAATTCCGATTAAACATGAGAGCTGATTGAATTGAAGCATCTATTTGGAATTATTAGGAACAGGGTTTAGTGACCACTATTTTGCGGACTTAAAGTTCACTACTTCCTCAGCGGTCGCAAAATTCCTGCTCAATGAACGCCTCTCGCCAGAAAGATATGATCCAGCAAACGTATATTACAGAAATATTTCCAGTAAAAAAGGAAATGTGGTCTAAAATTCTTACCAAGTAGAGATACGTACACGTTTTTTTCTCAAAAATTGGCAGTAAAATTGAATGCATTAGAGTGACGGGGTGTGCAGGTTGACATCTAGCGAAAAGTCGTCATATGACTGCAGCAAAGTGCATACAATAGTGCAGTATAACATGCGAATCGTATGTTAAAATACATTAGGTGGGGGGAGTTGCTGTGCATTTTTGACAATGGTAACCCGCTGTGAAAGAATTTTGTTTGCATCCGAATGTCGGCTCGAAGGTATCGTCTTAGCATTGATGACAAGGTTATATCGGCCATCCCAGGTTGGATAGGAGATAGTTAATGCCAAATTATTCCATGCTTAGGGTTATCCAGATCTAGGATAAATGTTAAGATGAGTACGTAAATGCAGCAGAACAATGTTTCGCAAAACAATCACAGCCTTTTCTCCCTTACAAATATAATATTTAAGCTCGGTCTCCATACCTTTTTTTGCATGTCATTCCATCCCCTTTTTTTCAAAAAATTCGAAAACGCATGCTAGGATTGATGGGACGCCTACATTTTCTTTTCACTAAACCAAACACGGCTAATTCACAATATGAACAGGCTTTCAAGAGTGTGTTCATGCGAATTGCCCAAGGGTACTAGTGCAAAACTTCAACGTCAATTTACACAAGTTGAGCAGCTATCAGGATGTCTGCTTCTTCTTAAAAGCCCCCTTCGATATTTGGGCCTATATGCCTACACAGTCATTTGAATTTCACCAGATTCGATTCTGGCGAATAATAGTGGACATTTAGGCCTTACCACCAAAAACCACCAAAGATAAGACCGATCATACAGTTTCATCTTGATCCGAATCTGGGTCCAAACTAGTAATGCAGAATAGCTACATCAACTTACTTTAATCAAGTAAGAGCGACCGGAAAGAAATCAACACAAGCCGAATATAACACAAGGGCATTTCAAAGCACTTGCTCTGCTTTAAGCCTAACCAACACACTTCTCAGTGATAGCCTTTCTAAAAGCCAAGAATGGATTTACGAGGTCACTGTTACCTTATTCCCGTCAAGATAAAATTTGCATAAACCATTAATCATTGCATTAGTCAGGGCTGCTCACAATTTTCTCTTGAGCAGTAACAGTTCTCTGCCAACCAAATTCAGAATTACTAATTACCTCCAAATGAAATTACGCTATTCGCTAGTTGCGACCAGTAGGAAATACGCATTACATTCTTCCAGTCAAGATGCTTCAACGTGTCACTTACACGACTTGCATTCCATTTGCCAACTTTAAACCACGATCTCCATCATTCGTGTGGGATACTGGCGATATTACTGGCTACAGTTCATAAGTCAAGCAGCTTCTCACTGTTCAAGACCCTTATGTCTTGTAGAATAACTATACCAAATGACATTATCTTATGAAACATAGAAGTAGTAACCCACGAAATTTCAAGGTACCTATTGGGATTGAAAGAAGGATAAGTAAACTGTTGGAATTGCTCTGGAACTCTTATGACTGTCGTATGTCAGTCAAATGAAATATTGCCATAAACAACGTCAGACTGTCATCCATCGAGAGTGGGACCTAGCAAAGCTATGCCAGCTGATCTCGCCTCCTGGAGTACACAACGATTCTATATTTCCTCAACAAAGATCCATTCAAATTGATAAAAGTTACATTGGTATGATATTGCAATACACAGCTCTGTACTCAACCAACTACCGTCCATCAAAACATAATGCTCCCGTACATGGGTGCACTGACGGCTGGATCTAAAAATGATGTTTACGCACTAACGGAAGAAAAGAGATTGTCAGAAATGGTATAGACAATGGCCGTTCGCAAGGGGAGAAACTGAGATGGTAGTAATAAAATGCGACTGCTACATAATGCATGTTTACTTGCTTGCACCTTTTAGGCAAGAAGCATTCAGGGAACACGAATTTCGTAATGGAACAGATGTTTTCTACACTGAAGGAAGAAGTGACCTCTAAACACGTAAATTCACTGATTTCCTTAACTCTTTCATAATACAGCCTGTAAAAATGTTTCATTCTGGTCAGTTTACTGGTTCAAAGGAAATGGAGGACAAAGCAAAATCCAGATCCGTTGAATTTTACTCGCTGTCTAATCGTTCGCAGAGCACCCACTAAACACGACAGGCAATACAACCAATTGCACTCAAAAGCATTTTGCCATTTGAGAGCAAAGGCACAGAGTCTAGACACCTTCGGATAGTCAGTAAAGCATCACATTGATGAAAATTTTTGAGGTATGAAAATGCCAGACATACTTGCGGCATCGAAGGCCTTGTTCACCATTAATTATGCAAGCCAAATTGTAAGCGTTGTGATCACCCCTTGACTACCCATTATACGGTAGCCCTGCATTGTCACAATTGGTAGGGAAATACTCCTTCAACATTCCCATAAAGCTGTGCAGTTCATTCTCTGACAAGTCTAAGGTGCCCTAATAGGGAAGATTTATTTCATTGGTAAGACGAAGTAGGCGAAGCAAAGGTAATAATTTTGGGGATGGGTTCTCAACGTATGGTTTCTCCAGTGCCGCCTTGCACCTCTGTTGTGTAGGCTAACTTGCGGCACACAAAGGCCAGAAACAGCCCCCTTCTGTTCCTCTTGGTAACATCTATCAGTCCTCGCGCCACAGCCATTTCACACAGCAGTTAGTAAGTGTATTTCCCCTAGGCGACTGTGACATATAACTTCCTTCCAAACAATAGCACCAAACAACTACAATATGAACAACAACTGAAATTCTTATACCTGATAACTCTTACTCAAAACTGCATCGGATGATATCCAATAAAATGCATCTACATAAAGATGTGCTCATTAAGAAAATGTCCATTTATGAAGAATACAGTCAATCAGATAATTAGTGCATGTCATTGTATACGTAGAAAAGGAATGAAAAACATTCGCTGAGATACTCCTCAGGAACTGGAGGCTCAACTGTATCATCACAACTGTCTAGTTCCGTTGTAGCATCAACATTTTGGGACAGAGCAGGAGATTGTTCTGAGTTATTAATCTTGTCCAAAGTGTCACTCATTGTGTGGCAATGAAATCAAGACTGAACTATACAAATCTGGAAATCCCCTGGAGGACATTTATTTGGCAGGAAGGATACCAGGGAAAAGAAGAATGATCGAAGTGGTTAAACTATGAGATACGTAGGTTTATTTGATTGGTGTGGTTGCAGATACATTCGGCTTGGTGAGTGGCTAGTTGATGGATCAGTACACACACTAGCATATGATTGGCGTAATCCTAACGTAAGGAATATTATGGTTGTGATTGGACAAACTGATGTGTCTGTCCAACTCTTGTAAATGTGCTTCATGTCGCATAAATTGGGCGAACTAAACCAAATTAATTCCACTTGTTTCCTCCCATATGCATTTTTTTGACTACAGCGAAAGCAAAGAACGTACCTAGGTTTGACCTCTTGATAAACAGTTTCTTAAACGGAACGGGAAACCCATTTTAATGCACAGGCAAAGCTCAGCAGTTCGCAAACACAGGTATATACCTAAAGCACATTGTTGACGCACTCAGTATCATTGTGGGTGAGAACTTAATCTACGTGTTAAATGCATGTTCTAATGTCGCAGTATGTATTGGGGAAAGTGCAGAACAAATTCAACATGAAACGATTTTATTGCCAGTTCTGGAGGAAATGAATTTGCTGTCTGTATAATATTTGACTTTGATCTTCCAAATACTTGCAATTTCAAGAGAAAGACAGATGGCTAGCAGTCATTTTATCTAATCTCGTGGACATTGTTTAAAACAATTTCGACCAAAATTCCATCGTATGCAATGCAGCAAGATGTTGTCTGTTGTGTGGATGGATGATACATATTTACTTCATAACAGCATGTATGCAGAATTCGTCATCGCAGGCATTAATTTTTTAACAGACATCCGTTCTCGGCTTAAGAGATATGCTGGAAAAGAAGATAAGTGAGAGCAAGAAGTAGATTTAAGATGGGATGTCTAATAACTTTCTGTGGCTTTTCTCCAGTACTGTAAACTTAACTAGAAGCAATAATATGCTCCTAATTACTAAGGCCTGCAAGTGTGAGACAACTCAGAAACTTATAAACCTTGCTAACCATAGGCCTATTAAACTGGAGGTATGGCGTGTGAAAGATCATAGGGCCATTCGGACTTATTTAAACTTTAAATAGTGGGGGAAGGGGGCATTAACTGTTCAGTCACTTGACGTCAGTCCATTTCTTGCACTGACCGCTTTTTTGGACGCCTGACTGTTAAGTGAATCCTTGAATAATTACGTTGGAATGAGTAAAGACAATTCATAGCAATTTCTTGGAGTTTGCTATCTTTTGGTTTAGTGACAAAAGTGAAGGAAAGTGAACAAAGCTTTTCAAACGGTTTCAAAATATAGGGGATGTATTAGACAAATATTGTTAAAAAGTCCTAGGCAATAATAAGCAAAAAGGAATACATTGTAGCATTCAAACAAGATACGGGTCTAATAAATAAAATACGCTCACTTGATTTTCCGTTCGCCTGAACTAGTACAACAACTGATTTGAGATATGCGGGCGAGATGAGAGCTTAGTTGGGACACATAATATATTGTATTAAAAAAGGGATTTTAATAAGAAATCGACCAGCAGTCAGTTGAGCGAAATTGAGAACTGAAAACTGTTGAAACCAACCAAATGACTTCAGTCTTTCTATAGTCCCGTGGTGTGGCCACAATCCATACTCTGATAGCTTATTCGTAAATGGATAAACCAATCCATCCTACGATCAGAAAATTGATCGAGGCTGACCAATGGATGAATGGCACATTTGATTGGGCAAACCGATGAGTCTATACAACCTTTGAGATGGTCTTTCGTCTTTCGTGTCATGGGCGAACATGCCACGGAGTTAGAATAAATGAATTTTGTATATTTCTTGCTGACACAAATAAATTTGCTGAGTTCTCACCCAGTCTCCTGTGATGTCTTCTAGTAACTAAGTGTTTAAATAGCTGTTCTACAAAATAATATCAAATACACGCCATCTGCAATTGCCAAAATTCCTTAATCAACCCCTGAAATTAAAAAACACTTTTGATTTAGTCGGTAACGCTGTTTGAACGCTTTTGTCGAGGCTGTAATCTGACCTTAAGTAGC